CTATAGAAATGGGATGGTTACTGAATACATTCCCAGGTCTCGGTATGGGATGGTACCTTAGTGATAGCCCAGTCTTGCCCTCACATTCCTCAGTGATGAGACCCAAAGTCAGAAAAATTATATATATATGGTTAAGGATATGCCAAAGGTTGAACTAAGACAGCAAGAAAGTCTTTTTGGTCATTTTTGAGAGCTCTCTGTCTCTGTCTCTCTGTCTCTCTGTCTCTGTCTCTGTCTCTGTCTCTCTCTCTCTCTCTCTCTCTCTCTGTGTGTGTGTGCATCTTTCTTTTTATTGTGAAAATGCCAGTAGGTGCTATTTAAGATACACAAAAATTATGTCAAAAAGGATTTCTTTTGGGTTTTTAAGTTATCAGGTGAAATAAAAGCTAATGTATTGTACTTATAAAAAATAATCAGAGATTACCAGGTGGCAGAAGCCCATGGATGTGAGGAGAGAATCAAATGGGTTCCCTTCCTTCTTTTGAGGATGGATGAGCATCCTCCCCAAGGAACCATGAACTAGATTGTAGAGAGACAACAAGTATTGTAAAAAATACTTTATGTTGCAAGCTGTGGTTCCAGTACTCAGACATTTCCACAGGCACCACTGGACACGGATATTAGGCATACCTGTGTCTCTGTGTGTCTTTAACTGACTGTGTGTTGGTGTGTGGACACATATGTGTGTGTGTGTATTGGTATGTAGGCTTTTGTTTATTTATGTGTGTTTAAGGTCATGCACTCACTTATTGTCTGTGCACCTACATTTACACACATGTTCTATGTCTTTCTACGCACATGTGTATATTTTCGTGTATATTCACTCAGGTGTCAGGCACTTCAAAACAGAGACACCCCTTTGCTGACCTACGCTTCAGCACTGCCCCTTTCCAGTCTGCTTCTTGAGTGAGTTACAGAATTTTTCTAAATCTCAGTATTATTATATAGAAAATGTCACACTAAGTGTTCCCATGAAACCAAAAGTCCAATCAATAGAGTTTTCAGCCACCTACCATTTTAGCATTAGGTTCAACTACTTATGCGTGCAAAGTTTTTGCTATATTTTATTTTAGAATCTTCAATATGTATTAGTCATTGCCCAGATAAACAATTTTGGTACCCAAATTTGTAGCTGGTCTGTGAAAATGTGTATTGTCTTGACCAATGCTATGGTGCGTTCATGAACTGGACATACATTTTGCCACTTTACACACGAGGGAACAGACATGGGGTGTGTGAAATAATGTGTCAGGTCATCCAGGGAGTTTTTGAAGGGCAGAGTCACAGAATCCCATCTGCCTGCAAGGCTGGCCTTGCTATCACTTCCAGCATCCTTCCCTAGCCAGAGGCTGAAGTGATGAGTGACAACATGGAGGTCTCTGGTGGTCTCTGCCCACCTTATGTTTTGCCCTGTTTGTTACTATTCCCGATTCCTCTACATTTGACGGACACTTGATTCTTAAGGTCAACCCCAAAGTGCTGCTCTTGGGGAGACACAAAGAAGAAGGAGGAATTGGCAGCTATGGCTGGTGGGTGGAGGTCAGACTGGATAAGCAGCAAGAAGTGCATGTGTGGACACAGCCTCAAAGCACCTGGTGGGGCTGGGCTTGCCTTGAAATGTTTGACAGCTGTTCAACCACCTCACACAACTGATGCTGGTATCTGACCCAGGAAGCAACAGAAGGAGAATTGCTGGAACATGACTGTTTAATCCCTTTCTAATCTCTGGAGTCTCTTAGTCCTTTCAGCCCTTCAAATGCTCAACTGTCAGAACTCGGTGAGCAGAAACATTATGGCCATAGGAAGCCCAGGTACTGAGCTCTGCGGTTCAGGCAGACTGGGGAGCGACATCAGCAGCTAGTTACTTTGAAATGAGCTTTGAAATAGTTAATAAAAAAAGAGAAAAGCCAAATCTCATTTACAAAATTATTACTTTTGTTTAGCAAGACAATTTTGCACAGAAAATTGCTTGGGAAAAACAGTCTCAGCAGAGCCCTTCAAAGACAATTTAGTATTTTTAATAAGGAAAATCTTTCTGATTCTCAACTATTTAGCCATGAAATTTTTAAAATCCAATGAAAGTCTGCCTTCAATAAATGTGGCTTTACAAATTTTATTGTCTGTTTAACAACTTGAGAATATTAACATTTCTTAGGCACTTAAATTCAGTCATAATTACAAACATTGCACTTTGAAAACTGTCTTTCATGCAATTTAATGTAATTTAGTGCCTATAAACCTGGTGTTTATTTTTCAGATATTCTGTATCTCAAAATTGTAAATAAGGTCAATTAACCTAGGAAATGGCAAGTCTCTAAGTACTGTCTATCTCTCAGCAGTCATTTAGAAACATACATGTGAATAATACACATGCACACACACACACACACACACACACACACACACACATAACCAATAAGGTTTGGAAAGTTTTGCCCATCACTAATTAAGTATTTTGGGGGGGGGACTGATGGGTGAGTTGAGTTGTCCCACATCTGCAATCAGCTTGGAAGGATGCAAAGCTTTAGGCTACAGAATGAGTTCAAGGCTAGTGGACATGTTACTGAGACACTGCTTCAAAACTGAAAAACAGTAAGGCTAGGGATTCAACTCAAGTGGTAAAGAGCTTGCCTAGCATAGGTAAGACCCTGGTTGCAACCTTAAATATGACAAAAGACAATAATAATAATGCAAGAATATATCAGGAGACAAAAGCAGGCTTCCCTGGACAGAGGTGGGGAACAATGTTCCTTAACATTGAAATTTCTTTGTTTCATAGCACATGAAGTCTTTTTCAGTAGATTACAGCTCAAGATAAGGGCTAGGGACATGGATCAGCTAAAAAAATGCTGAGTGGTCAAGTGTGAGGATCTGGGTTCTATACACAGCATCCACATACGAAGCTGGGAATGGGTGTGTGTATTTGTCACACTAGCACCAGGGAGGCAGAGATAAAAGCCACCATGGAGTTTGTTAAACAGACAGTCTAGTGTAATCAGTGGGCTTCAGGTTCAGTGAGAGACCCTATTTCAAAAAATGAGGGGGAGGGCCACTATGAAAGACATCTGACATGGATCTTTGGGTTTCAAATGTGCTCACACACACACACACACATACACACAGACACAAATCACACACACACAAGCAAACCACCTTCTAGATCCAAGCTGTTTCTGTGCAACTAAGAGGTTCTTCTACCTATAGAACACAGCCAACAACCGCAATTGCCACATGTGAATGTGAAAGCATTTCATCAGTGTCTACACACCCCAATACCAGGTTTGAAATGCAGTATCAACACCTTCGCACCTGTTTCTCTTCCTGCCTGAGCATCGCATGTATGACTTTGGCTTTGTCAGCATAATCCTCCTCACTGCTCCACACTGGCCCGTGTCATTAACTTAGAGCAGTCTTGAAGTATGTGTCATGCTTTCTGAAAGTGACTGAAAGGTTTGAGAGGACCAACTGGGAACCACGCTGTGGCTCGGAGAGAAAGTCTGCCCTTAAATGGTCTATTGATGGAATTGTGTCAGTCGTCCACACACTCCCTGTCTCCTCCTACAGCCTCAATGAACAATCAGACTCACATGAACGTCTCTCTCTTCTACACTAGAAAATTAAGCTCTTATTTGAATTTGAATTTGAATTTGAATTTGAGCTGGAGTAGCTGTGTCTTCCATTCTCTCCCATGAGGGCAATGATGGACACAGACAGATAGAGGAATAGTCTCCAGCACACAGCTTTTACACAAATGCTTCTACATCCACGAGCCACCAAAGGAGATCTGGGTCTACTGGAAATGTTTCACTACAGCGCTATGTTGTCTTTAATGTTGCAATCTGAATGTGCCAAGGCTCCATAACCATTTGGTCAGTTGTGATACTTTCTACTCTGATTTTCATAATAAAAAAATACTTTCTACTCTGATTTTCATTGGTGTTCCTATCTGTTCAGTTCTTCTGTGCAGAAGGAAGCATGCTCCTGTCTCAGATGCTAATCTTTGATGTAGAGAAAAACATAAGCCTCCAAGGGGTGTTTCCGTCTCTTTCTAGTATGGCTGGCACATAAAATTTAAATCCACTGTCCTAAGCAGTTATCTGCTGTTTAATACTCATAAATTCCCATTGCATACTTGATTGCAAGAAACCACAGCAGGGTGATGGCCAGTACTGCTACTAATAAATAGCTACATTTTTTTTTCTCTTTAAACCACTCTCTGCTCCCACAGCCCTTGGGAGATCTGTCCACGTGCTCTGTGGCAGATTGGAAAGAGGGGGCTGTGACAGAAGCCATGACCTGACTGTAGTGATGCCGTTTCCATATTTTGAAGCTTGGGAATCACTCGCTGCTTAGAAAACCCTAGCTCTGCTGCCTGGCTGCGGTGGAAAAAAGCCTGTGGGGATTGGGGAGAAAGGACAGTGTAAAAGAATGGAAAAAGAAGACAAAAATGCAAGGCAGTGTTGCTTCTTTGAACATCAGTGACTCACTCTACCCCTATCACACTGAGAGTAGACAAGGCTTGACAGCGCTGGGAGGCATGGTTTGTTTATTTCCTGTCCTCAGTTCCATCTGTAGCGTAGTCTTAAAAAGAATGCTGCACTTCCCTTGTACAGGAAGGAGCACGGTGCGCTTCCCTCAGTGTGCACCTCCGAGCCAAAGCAAATGCTTAAGATGTCCAGTGCCTCGGACTGGGCTGTAAAATGATGCATGCTTTCCTTTTCTTTCAATGACTTTGCTCCTTCTTGTCCTTTTGGCCAGTATGTGCTGCTTTCAGGAATCCAGACAAAACCCCATGACTGGTTAAACAGTGAATTAAGACACAAATGGGTTTAAATTCATCTTGACTTGTCCCTTCCCTCGAGAGAGCTATAAATGGATATTAGGCAACAGAGATGCTGATTTCAATTTGGCCACATGCAGTGCTTTGCCAGTGGTAGAATGAGTAAACTTAGCCCGAGACTGGCCATTTCACCTCACCGAACACAGAGCAAGGCACTCACCAGCGCTGACGGTGATCGCTTCAATAAACTGCTCTCTCCAGCTGTTTGTCCCCACCACAAGGGCCAGGTTTGTCTTCTTAATGAGTTTGTCCACAGTGTTCTAGAAAGGGGCAAAGGGATAAGACAGTCACTTCTGGGGTTGTGAATGCATCAGGAGATCTGCAACCTAACGGGCAGCTGACGTCAGGCTCAGCAGAAAAGTATGGACTTCAAATACTGCTGTGGTTATGTAAACACCTGTGGGCCTTAGAAATATTCTGAAATGCAAACTTCTTCACAGAGAAAACAAGCCTCCTTTACTGCTCTCATGGCCAACCAGGAGCAACCAGAGTGTTTAAGGGCCTACTCATGCCCCTCAGCTGCTCCCGGAACCTGATTCTCCTTGACTTTTCTGTCTGCAAGTGAATCAGTATTGGCCCTGTTCAGCATTTTCTGTGAACACCGAGGAGCGACAGATCTGAGGCTGACAACACATTGCTGTGTTTTTGTCAGTAAAATGTAGCCAAGCAGCAGGATTTCAAGGTTGCTGGCTGCATGATCAAATAAATACATAATTTGGTGGTGGCAGTTGGAGGGGGTGGGGTGGAGTCTTGGGTGGTGGTGCAGAGGGGCCGCTAGATTTTTCCGCCGCTTACTAATATTACCAGGCGGTTGTGCTCTCCCACTACTGCTATTGCATCAGGCACGTGTTAGAGAAGCAAAAGCCAACATCTGTGGCTTAGGGCTCACTGCTAACAGCCTCGCATCACATGTCCATATTTTAATAGCACTGAGGTACGTGCTCCTCATTGTACTTGAGAACTTATTAGGTGATTACATTTGTGCAATTAGCCCTCTCCAACTTTCTCAATTTGGTTCATCGAACACCAGGACTTGCCAAGTGGTCACAAGAAAGCCAAGGAAGCTACACAGTCAAAGCACTACCACAAATCATCATGGCAACTACAGGGAGAAGGGGCACTTCCAGGACACCGCGGCTGCTCCCCCCAGAGGCACTACTGCACCAACTAATCTACCAAACACACTTACTGTCAGGGCATCCTCCAACTTCCACTAATTGCAGAGAGGCAGAAAACATGTATTATTTGCTCTAGGTAAAGATTTGTACATGTTCAATGCAGGATACCAAACTGTGGTTTGAGAGAGATAACATTATTGGCCAAGCAGGAGTTAAGAAAATGGTTCTGGGGGTGGGGGGCTGGATGAGACGTCAAAGCCAATTTATAAAATCAAGCATGTTAGTTCAAAACGAGTCTGGAACTGACTTGAGACATTGAGAAGAAAACAAACATGAAAGGACCCGTCCCCAACTAGCTCAACTCTCTATCTGCCACATTATTCTTGGTTGGCCTTTGCGCCCATAGGGCTGTGGCCTCTCAGCTTCTTGTCTCATACCCAGAACTGCCAGTGCCCTGATGAGAGCTCTAACAGTTGCTGCTGCTCTTGGGCACAATAAATTGAAACACACGACAGGCATCTGTCTTTTCTCTCTCAGCTCAGCCACATCTCATCTAGCACTCCGAGCATGTTGACTAATGCGGGATGAAAGTGCTGTGTGTGGAATATAAGAAGACATGACCTCAGTTTTTCCTACACGCAGTGGAAACTTGAAGCACACCTCTCCGAAAGGGAGAGCACACACTGTGCTGCAAAGAAGGCAGAGAACCCATCACATTAGAGATAAGCACCTGAGGATCACTCCCACGCCCGAACTCAGGCCAACCCATAAAAAGTCTGCTAAAGAGAAAACTTTTAGCAGAAAGTAAACCAATCTTTACTGATATGTAAAAACACAGGTAGATCTTAAGATGCAGTAAATTTTAACCAAAGAGACTGAGCTCATCTCAAGGGCTAAAGTTGTTGCTGTGTGGTTCCTTCATCTATGGGAAAAGGAGAGCGATCAAAACAAACTGAAGTCCTGACAATACTCTCAGGGTTCATCGGGGAGGTTCTTAAACTGTCAGCGACCTTCACAGCATGATAAAAACCTCATCCTTGACAGTGGGCGTGCCTCAGTGTGACGGGTGAGAACTCAGGGAAGAAACATATGGACCAGCTCATGCTCCCAGGTGAGAACGGCATGAGTAGGGGTTTGGGGACAAGTGCAGTCTAGCTCATGCTGTTCTAGAGCTTTGAACAAGTTTTCAAGTTACATTCTAGAATAGCACAATTCTTAAATGAAAAATGTCAAAGTTGATATTCTTTCTTTTTCTTTCTTGTAAGAGTTATCTAACACACTACTTTCTAAAGAAGCTACTACAGGTGTTCTTTCCATGGTGCCTACATGGCAAAGCAAGGCTGGCATCCTATAAGGGAGAGTACTATGAAACAGGCAGGAGTAAATTAGTTCCAGAAACAGCGATCTCTGTTGTGGCAAGGGGCAAGCGACCCGGAACCTTTTGATTCTGGGTCACAAGAAGTCTGGGGAGGAACAGTGAAGCTGCCCACAAATGGACACAGAGTAACAGAATGGGCCACAGAAACTGACAGGCTGAGATCATGTGGGATTACATGAACTTGTACATGTTCCCTTCATGTGCTCAGTGAGCCAGACTCAAGGTTATGCCATAATGGTATCAATCCAGAAAGTCTTCATTCCTCTATTTACCCCCCTTTCTGGGGTGGAGAGAGATGAGTGAAAACAAAAGTATATCTATATCGATATCGATATCGATATCGATATCGATATAGATATAGATATAGATATAGATATAGATATAGATATAGATATAGATATAGATATATAGATATAGATATAGATATAGATAGATGGATTCTTAATGGCCTGAAGAAGGTTTAAATATATTTTTATCTTTAAAACAAAAATCCCATTTAATTGCAAAGATACCTTTTCACTCGCTATGCCAATTTGGGAATTAAATTTAATGAGCCAACAAAAGGAAAAGTTTTAGTAATAATTAAGTGGCGTAACCTAATTGGAGTTTTAGTAATAATTATTACTAAATAATTATTTAGTTTCTGAGACTTCTATATTATCCTGCTCTCTATTGTTTGTTTGTTTGTTTTTCTTTCTTTGAATAGGCAGCATCTCCTTTGGAAAAACAAGTAAAGAGAATACTGTTCTGTGCTGGGTTTGTAATTCTGGGTACACATGCTTTTAATGCTGTGCACAGCTGAAGTTGGCTCCACCACAAGTATTCTTAGGTGCCGAGGATCTGGGTAAGGAGTGTATGTGGCAGGGTGGCAGGGAGTGGGGACAGTGTGGGGTGCAAAGGACAGGAACACAGCAGCAGGTCAGGTCTCACAAGACAGGGAGTTTCATTAAGTATAAAGCGCACCCCCATCTGTTCAGCTTTTAAAAGAATGACTTCTGTTACCTGGGAAGTTTTGAAATGAGGCTGAGGCTGAAGCTCAGGATGCTTACCTGACATATGTGAACCCCTGGGTTTGATATCGAGTTCCATAAAAAAAATGAATTAGAGAATCCAATTTTATCAGTTCATGAATAAAAAATATAGTTGCCGACTCTGCCTCTTTGGTAGGCAGGGATAAAGAGTTCTCAGATTGGAATAGCGGAGATATAAAGAGCTGTTCTGCAAAACCAAAGCCTTTGAATTTCCACAGGGCAAATGCTTCATTTCTGAAAGATTCATCAGGTTTTTCCAATGCATAAGGATCTCCCCGAACCTACTTCTGTAGTGTCCTTTCAGATATAGCTCTCCCTTTTGAAGCAGTTCTGATTCTGTCAATCTGAGTGCCACCTGCTGGACCCAGGTTCTGATGTTCTTTACTGTACAGAGTTTCTTGGTTCTCTGCCAACCCCACAATTTCAAATTGGATCTGACAGCTTTTAGCAAATGAGCCTGTATATGAAATCACATTTTTCACTCTCTCAGGAAGGCACTTATAGGACACACTATAAGGAACCACCTTGAGCAAGCTGCTGGGGTGGGCAGTGTCGGCAGACATACCTTGAACTCATAGGACTCTTCAATGATCACCTCCAGCTTGCTGTACTCTCCCAGGATGGGGCGCCCCATTTCTGCAATGCGCCTTTCCTCCTCCTCTTTACTGCTCATCTGCTTGTCGAAGTCATCTGGGAGAGGGAAGGCAAGGATGTGAGCAATGTGTTCCCCTACATTCACAAGCCCCAGGATCCCACTTTAAGAAAATTGGGGAGGAAGGGGTGCCCTAACAACCCACTAAAAGTCTCCTGGGTGAGGTAGTGAGGCTGGGGAGGAGAAGGGGATAGAGTCTGCAATGCCATCGTGAAGCAGCAGATGATTTAAATCTGGTACAGTCTACCTCATGTGAAAGCATGGATGGGGGAAAGCCATGGTCAGGGAAAAACCCTGCTGCACATTGTCTGTGTTGAGGGAATCACCCAGCTGTTCTCTGTGGAGCTGGCCAGTTTGGCAGTCTGCACACATTTTTCCAGCACATGACCAAAGAGAAACACAATTAAAAGTCCTAAAGTAACCCTGAGGGATGTGAGACTTTAGCCCTTTCCTTTCTACTTTCAAGAGGCATCAGAAAATGCCTCAGGGCCAAAGAGACACGGAAGGAAAATTCTGATTTTAGTGTCACGCTTGTCAAGAGTCCTTGTCATAGGTTCAGCTCCCAAACATCCATCTTACATTTCCTTTAGATGGCTGGGCCCTAGGGCCTCCTCTCTGGCACAAAGATGAAATGTGCTAGGAAAGCCTTGACCAGTCTATTTTAAAGCAAACAGAAAGGGCGAGGGTGAGGCCTTTGGAGAGCTAATATTCACTATGTAAGCATGATTATTTCCAGAACCACCAAGTAGCTCTTACTCTACGAGAGGAGAGGGTGCTCAGAGAAGAGTCTATTAATGAGAGGGAAGCTCACAGTTGGTTCTGCCCACGTGGAGGTCACTGAGATAAGTCCCAGACTGTAAAGGCCAAGCCTTGTCCTGTAATCACTTTTGTTCTTTTGGTTGAGCATGGTGGAAAATGATAGGCTACTTCCTCTCCGAGTCAAATGAAGCACAAATATCCAGGGAGACAATGGTGTTGCTATGGAAAAACCTCCACACCAAGGCTTTCGGGTCCAGGATATCTGGGCAATTGCCTGCAAGTGGAGTCTGTTGTCTGAGGAGTCATCCAGAGGGGGAAGGGCTTTTTGTTCAGGCTTCCCGACCTGGTTTTTGCATCTAGACATCAGCTTTAGTAGGGGTTCTTGCCTTCTACTTCCTGCAAAGGCCCACAGCTTCCCCTCTGCCACTGTAGGTGGCTCCACTTATTGATCTAGTGATTGTTTCAAGGAGAAATATTTGGCTAGCAGTCTACTTTGAGGACTGGGGTTAGGGGCAGATGTGCTGGAAGCCAAGCTGGCACCGAGATGTCAGCAGTGACGGAGGCAAAAGCAGAATGCAGCTGTTGGTGCATTCTTCAGCATGCACTCCATAGTGAGTTCTAAAAGGACGCATTTTACATCCTCAGCGGCCTGTCACCCTACCAAATCAAAGGGGGGTGAAAATGAGTTGTTTGGTCTATGGAGAAGCTGTGGAACATGTGCAAAGGAGAGACCAAAGGAGATTAATTTTAACTGTAAATGTGGTCAGGGTTTTTATAAAAGGATGGGCAAGTTATAAACCAAAGGTTCCGTTTAGAGTCTCCAAGATCATATTTCTGGAATCATGTGTGTTTAGTCAAGGGGGAAAATGGACACTTGTGAAGTCTATTTACCCTGTGCCCAAATCAGTTACAGCTTGGTTCTCACTGCTTGATCTTCGGGCCAATGAAAATGTCCCTTGTGGTTCAGGCTGATTTCATTTGTGTCTTTGTCCAGATCTCTGACTTACACTGAATAAGAGCAATATTACCACTTACATATCTATTTGAAAAGCAGAGCTATGAGTGGGAGAATATTTATTGTGGCCACTATTTCTGTGATTTGCTTACAAATGGTAAGTGGCTTTGAATGGTACTCTGGGTAATTTAGTGGAAAACATATAGCAGTTAGGAAGGAAATGTGATGTGCTGGGATTGTTCGGGGGGGCCTTTCACAGAGTGAAACTGATACAGGGAAGCAAAATAAATGCACATGGTAGGAAATGAAACTGGATCACCTCAGGAGTGAAAAGGTGCACCCACGCCCAATAATCCTTCAGGCTTTCTGATAAGCAACAAACACACAGTGTGAGGCACCTGGCTCTGTAACCGCTTCCTAACATTTGGCTTTCTGCCACTTAAAGTAGAGAAAGTACAATTGAGGTACACAACATTTCACTAGCTAGAATTTAATGACATTCTTTTCAATGTGTGTGTGTGTGTGTGTGTGTGTGTGTATCTTATTGTGTACTTATGATAAGAGCCTTCTAGGTTGTTTTGTTGTTGTTGTTGTTTTTGTTTTTGCTTTGTTTTAGTTAAGTAAATGACAAGGTAATTTAAAAAAAATCACAGTACATAAATTATAAACAAGTTAGTATTCAGTCTTAACAAAATCTTATAAGAATGCCGAAATGTAGACATCTCATCTTAACAGGAGGAAATGTTAGGAACCTTTTTTCTCCACCTCTTGCCATACTGCACAGGTTTACCCATCATGCAATCAGCAAGAAGTGCTCCCATATGTTCACTTACTTATATTGTAAGGCCCTTCTGTGAAGCAAGATAGCAACGGACAACTGGGATTTAGTAAATATCACTCAGTTCCATAGTGTTTATTGTGTGGTTGAACATGAATGGCTTTATATGGCTTAATTATTATTTTAAATTATCTTTACATACAAATATTTGTTTGTAGGCTTACAGAGATAGACTATGCCTTGACACTCTTTGGACTGTCCTTACTCTTGTCTAGTACAATGTACGGAATGCCCAAAAATTACCCAATAAGTATTTGTTATGACATTCTCCAAGTTACTGTTAACAATATTTTTATTTGTTCTTTTCTCTTTTTAAATAAAAGGACAATCCATTATTTAAATACGTCATTGTCCTCTTAAAATATGTCAGCACAGGCATAGTCCTCCTCTTTCTTGGCCTCGGGGTGTCTTCTAGGAACTTCTGGTGTAGTGGGAAAGAGGCACAGGAATGAAAAACTAGCATTAGTTTGACAATAACTGAAGGACCAGGGTAGGAAGACCCTCCTCTGCCTACAGTAGTCAGGGAATGCTTCAGGGCAGGAGATTTATTTGAAACTATCTAGAAAGCATGTAGAAAGCTTGCCAGGTGAATATGATGGTGAAGATGGCCATACGGTGTGCAGGTTAGTGGTCATAGTTCAGGACAGAGGTGTTTTCATATGATGAATATTGTGTATATTTAAGAGACATTTACAGTTGTGCGTACTTGAGAGGGGACAAGTAGATAAACCTTATGGCTGACATACAACAATTCTCATATATTAGCAGTTACAATGTAGAGTTTTGATGGTGGCAAAGAAGGGAGTTGAGTCTTTTCTTTTTTTCCTTAATGTTTTTAGGTCTGTCTTTTACTTAATAGGGAAATGGTTTAACAGCATTTTTTCCAGGATATTTGTTTCCTTTTCACTTTGAACAATGGATCAAAAGCAGATTATTTTATTGTAGCCAAGGTCACTTTATTACCTTATGTATGCAGAGTGAAAGCACAGTGGAGCTTTGGTTCTATTTCCTAGAGCAAAGTCTCTCTCTGTACAATTCTGGGTCCTTCCGTCTTTTTATGTACATATCTATGCTTTTAAAGCTCACCAATTTCATTGTGATATAGCGTATAGAATATATAATGTCACAGGTTTGACCAACCCAAACAACTTAGAGATCCTGTGCATTACCAGCAACCATGGCTACAAGCCAGGGTTGAGAGAACACAGAGAAATCCTGGGATAAAATCACCTGAGTGGGGTCTTTGCAGCGGTTCACAACCTCCCTAATGCTGTGACCCTTTAATACAGTTCCTCACGTGGTGGTGATCCCCAAATATAAAATTATTTTGTTGCTACTTCATGACCATAATTTTGCTGCTTTTATGAACTGTGATGTAAGTATCTGATATGTAGGATATGGGTTGGGAACCACTGCTTTAGAGCATTTTTTTTTTTTATAAACAACAATGAAATCATTAGCGTTAGGTATCTGAGTTCTGGAAATGGATGAATTATGTAAAGCTACTTTTACTGCTTCCTGGTTGAAGCTGGATCTTGACGCATGACCATGGTGATAAAGGGGTGAGAGGAGGAAATCCCTTTCAGAGGACAGTGCCACCACATGGCTAGTTCAATAGAGAGCTCTGTACTCATGAAGCCAATGTCGTGGGTGTTTTGTTTTTTAAATACCAATAACAATAAAAAAACTTAGAAAGTGGAGGAAAAGGCAGTGGTGGGAAAAATCTCAGGATTTTTTTTCTGACATATTGTTCATAACTATGTGGACAAGTATATAAAAACATGTCACTTGACAGTGTTTCAGCTTCCACTGGCCTCTCTGATTAGAACCCAGGAATACTGCCATTTTTTAGTCTCTTGAGGGACATTCTGAGAAATATCTGCAGTAGGAGTACAGGACTGTGATTATTGGGTGGAGGTATGGTTTGTGAGGATGAGGCAGGACCCACAGGACCAGGAAGAAGTACACCTATCACCAACGTAAGTGAAGGGCAGCAGTAGTGGCTAAAGGGGGAGGTACCCTCATCCCGGGCTACAGATTTGGTGCTAGGAGTTGGCTCAGAGCTGTGAACCCTCGGTAGAACTGTAAAAGCTGGTGTGATCCTTGAGTTGGCCTGTCAACGCTCCTTTGTTACCTCCTGTATCAGGAAAGGCCATTCTGGTGGGAAATACAACCTGCTTTGTTTCTAAGAATGTTCATTATACTTAAGATCAAAGACTTACATATAAAAGATATATTTATAAGAAATCTGTAACATTGAAATCTGAGAGAGAGAAAGCATTGGATCAACCTTTTTTGTAGCTCCATACTGTCCCTCCATACCGTCTTCCATTTTTGATCACATGTGGCATCTTAACTGTCAGAGAAGCAACTCACTAACCAGCAATATTTTAGAAGGCCCAGGGACTAACGTATATGACTCTACTGTCTGAAGACCCAACGTATACCTGAAAACTGTGGTTTCCAAGGATCACAGTGAAATGAGTACCTGAAAGGCTGATTACTGTAGTGAGGGGCAGATGAGCTCTGCCTTGAACCCTCCTGAAGATAGGGCGGCCTAGCAAAATGACAGGCAGAAAATCAGCAGGGTGGATCACATTGCTTTGGTGTCAGTGCCCTTGACATTAGTAAGGTAAAAACAACAGCCAGACGCACACACTGCAAGTTATGTTTGTTAGTGTGGGCGGTTGTAGGGTACTCTCTGTAGGCCCCAAGGAGGAGTTCTGGTGCTCTATCCACAATGGGGTAGAGATTACCAGCCACAAATGGGGACAAATGTTGCATAAGCCAAACTAAATAATGAATCAGTTTGGTGGATGTGCTAATGAACCTCTTTCCTTGGGGTAAGAGGCAGAATCAGTCCAGACTGAAACGCAATCAATCCATTTACTGAGTCCAGAGGCACCAGAAAACAGAAAGCACTTAGTGGAATGACGTGTTTTAATTTTTGAAGCCTTTAGTGGCATATATACTTATTGGCACATATATTTCTATTTTGTTGCATATAAAATGCAGGTAGTATCTACTTTGTATATGTCACAAGTTTCTCTGAAGCTTGGGGAGTATACAAACCCTGAGAAGGTGCTCATTGCATTCATTTCCTGTATAGACTGGACAGTGTCATATATGCTTCCGTGGAATAGAAGGACAAGTCATGATCAGCCAGCTGGCTGCCAGGTCCACCTGCCGTTTTTGTTTTTGTTTGTTTGTTTTTGGTTTTCCTGTAAAGGTCTCCTGAGAATCATTAGACCTGGAACTCGGGTCCAGCTCTGTCACTTGTTGTCATTTAAATGTGGACAAGAAATTTCACCTCTGGGAGAGGAGATTTTCTTGGTTGTAAAAATGAAACAAATGTGGAGGGAGGGGCTTCATTCCCTAACACATACACTGGAGGGATGGACATGCTATCAAAGTGTTAGGATTATCAAAGTTTGCCCCTTATAAATAGACATGCACCGTAAGGCTGTTACAGGACCACAAAATGACCGAAAGAGCAATATTAAAGAAGTTTATTGAATTCCATGTAGTTTTAGGGAAAATTGTAGCTGCATGTCTTAGAAGTATTAGCGGAATCAGATATTTAGGGGAATCAAATAAACCTCATCAGATTTAGCCAGGATACCGAATTTCATTTAAAAATATATTTTTTTTCTGTAAAATCTAAATTTCCTTTATGTTTCCTTTGGCTAAAATTCATAATGATGGCTTTTTATGAGCTAGATAGAGTTGTACTTTAGGTTAAAAAAGTTTCAATGTATAATGTAAAGATGAAGGGAGAAGGAAAAGGCTTGTACTATTGGACCAGCCAAATGACAGGGCTGGGGTTGGGATCATCAACCAAAGACCTTTTTCTCAGATGCGGAAAGGTGGCTGTGAGAATCTTGGATGAGTGATTTGGGGCAGATTAATCTTTTTGAACCTTTTTTGCTCCCTCTAAGTGTGAACAATAAAATCCATAAGAATGGTGACAAAATGATATTCATTATAAGCTCTAATGAGTTATAATGTTATAATAAAACCAGAAGGTCAGAGGGGAATGAGACCATAGATTTAAATGCAGGCCTTTTTGTGAGACAAGAGCTAGGACCACAGTGAAGATTTGCAAACTTCGAAAGCACCTCCAGCACTTCCTGTCTGCTACTAATGAGATCTCTAAAAAGTGGTGCCAGGCTGTGGATCAAATGGATTTTTTAATTTCTGTATATCCTGTTTCCAAATTCAACATCCATGCTTATCTGTACAAGTTCATGTAAGAGCTGCAGGCTAACTGTAAAGGGCTACATTAATTCTTCTCTTCTTCCTTGCACCTCAAAGCCTTGACTTCAAAGCATCAATGTAACTTCAAGGAAAAAAAAATCTTTGGACTTTATTTCTCCATTTTATTGTGCAGACCCAAGTTTTAGAAGTTTCTTAGAGGCATGAGTAGCAACTGAGTCCTGAGATTTGATTGAGGAGAAGGAGCTTATGAGGTTAGACAGTATTCAGATAAGTAACAATTAGGCTAATGTAGGAATTCCCCGAGAGTTCTGGAATAGTCTCCCATAATAACCGCGGTGACTTCTGTATTGAGAGATGTCAACAATGGAGAGACTTCTATTTTTGGTCAAATTTTCAGCCACAGGCAGAGCTCAGTGAACTACTCATATGGTAGAAGAAGCTTTTTGAGAAAGTGATTGTGTCATGTTGGATACAGGAATATGGGCAAAACAGAAAACACTGATATGAGGGATATGGGAAACTTTATGGAAAAATTGTGAGAAAATAAAATGAGGATATTATTAACTGAGGTACTAAAAGGGAAGATAGAGCACATGATATAGAAAGAAAACTCTAGAAATAGAATTCTCATGTATGTAATGCAAGATCGCCAAAGACATATAGGCACTCTTACTGAAGCTATTTAGTTAAAGTCTCATCAGGCTGCATAGGTTGGAAAGAATAGGCATACAATATGCTATTTCTAGAGACTCTGGTTGACAGTAGAAAGATATAATCCACCAAGCCATGAAGGTTGGAATGCCAAATTTTTAACATCTTTAACTCCCTCACGGGGAGCTGTTCTTCCTGACAGAATCAGAGTATTTCCAAGATGACATCAGTGATTTAAAATGTTGCAATGGGGAAAGAAAAGATAACTTTAAAAATTATATATGTTCCTGTATTAAGATACATAAACGAGCTCCGGAGCAAGTTGTTGTTTTGTTTTTTGTTTGTTTGTTTGTTTCTGACTTGAGAGAGGCTTGGGGGCTTGGGTGATTCGGATTCAGGGAACGTTGTAAGAAGACTACCCAGTTTAACATTTTAATTTTTTCTAATCTCTGGGTTTCTGAGTGTCTGCGAGCCATGCTGTCATTCACTGCTGTGTCTGGAGATGAGATGGGGCAGCCGTCCAGACAGGACTGCCATCCTTGGAAAGCTCCATGCGGGCAGGATCATTTTGGCACTCATGGCCCACGAGCTGATGTCAACCCCAACGTCTACCGCGGTGTTTTCATTACTAGAGACTTTTGTAATATTTCTTTCTAAACATTTTTCCCGGCTCTCTGATTTCAAATTTTGGTGTTTGTATGATATACTGGAAATTTGGAGGCATTTGCTTAACCTATTTCCAGAGGCCATCTAGGAAGTAGGTCACTAGAGACATTTTCAACCTGTAGCTGCTGACAAGTTCGGGCCATTTCTAGATATTCATCTTTCTTTCTGAATCTGCAGAAAGAAAAGGTGAGATGAATAAGCAGGGTCAAAAGATGCTGCATTGAGTAATGAGCTAAAGGCTTCAAGCTTTCTCACTGGGATCGTGTATGTTTACATTGGACTTTGTAACGCCCTTCACGTAGCAGAAATAATTCTTGTTACCATGCTGTTAGCACTAAAACCAAGCTTTAACAGACGGGTTTGAATTGTTGTCATGGGGTGAAAGTAAATGGCTGTTCGGTCCTCTTTTAATGTGATGTTATCTACGCCTAGGATCCCAGTGAACTGAGACGGTGAGGTTTGTGTGGCTGTCATAGCCACTGTCTTAGACCAGCTTGTCTTTCCTGCTCTGGAACTCTGTCTAGCATCTGTCAGAATACGTTGCATATTCTCAGGACTGCGTGGGCACCTGGACATTGGCCAGTGTCAGAATGCAAACATTTAGAGGCTCCTCTTGTGGGTTTTCTTACAGATAGATACAACACACACAACTGTTGTTAATTTGTAAAATTGTTAATGTGTCAAATCAACAAGAAGATGGTGTGGGCCACAGTTAAATATTAATCCAGGTTACATTTGGTTTGGTATTTAGGTTATTTGGGCCAAAATAGGAACTTTTAAAAGAAGTTATCTTACCTGTCATGCGTTTTTTTTTTTTAATTAAAGACAAACAAAAGAAAAGATTTTTTAAAAGATGTAATATGTTGATGGTGACAGTAAAAAAATGTATATAGTTAGGCAGTATTAGAGTTGAAAAATTCATACCTGCTCGTGTGAAGCTACCTAAAAAAGAAAAAAAAGAGAAAAGTCATAATTTAATTTACATTCCACATAGCAAGTATTAGCGCCATAAGATGTGCGCCAGCCCACCTGAGTCATGAACGCTTGCCAATTTATAACCAAGAAGAATGCGAAAAGGTCCAGTCATAACTGAACACATTATTTTAAGATTATGAAACTTAGTGTACGGCCAGTTCCTGTAGCCACCCAAGGGATCACCCACCCTTTAGAGCTTATGTACACTAAATTAAAAATATGATACGGATGATCTGGCCTCATCTAAAATGAGGCCAATAGCTTTAAATGAAAGTTTGGCCAATCCACAGATAAAGACTAAAAAATCACGAGTTACAGTATCGTCTCATAGAAATGGAAAACAGCTTTAAAAAAAAATGGAAAGGAAATGAAAAAAATGAAATGCTTACCAAACTCATTCAATAACAGGGCTGTGAAGAAAACAGATAGAGACAAACACAGAATGAGACCAGATGAATAATGAAAGAGGAATATTAGCAGAAAGAAATCCAAGCAGCTCTGACTAGCGTGGGGAAAACCATTGCTTATAAAAACTGGTGCACCCCAAGGGAATGTATTGTTGGAAACGTTTCCAAATAAATGATCCCAATAGGAATCTTTGTGTGTGATTAAAAAAAATCACCTTGCATGTATCTGTGTATCTTTTCTATGTATCTCATAAGATATTTCTTCCACAGTTGTTGACAGATGGTGAATAGAAAAATATACTGGAAATATTGAGGATGCTGATCTTTAACTCGGTTTGGGGGTGGCCTGCTTCAATTAATGGTGCCTGAAAGCTAATGAATCAAATACTTGAAAGTCTTTTAATGACTAAAGACCTCAGCTACCTTCTATGAAAACAGGTAAAAGTATCCAGACAAATTCCTTAGCCTGGCCTCCCAGAAGGAGATTTTGGCTCAAGTAAAGCTTTCTATGCATTGGAAGATATTTTGACTTCTCCAAAATTGCTTATGCTTTTTAAATTCTATAATCCTAAGAGCCCCTAAATCTGCATTTATTTGTGTGCCATTATCAGTAACTTCTACACATTAATAAGCTAACCAGAATGCTTCTAGTGGGTATATAATCCCACTGAAACAGACAGGGTGAGGGATGCAGGCCAATCTATAATGTAGCTTTTTAGATTATAGTCTTTAAATACAGTTGGGACCACAGCATTTTATTTTAATAAAAAAATAAGCCAGATTAAGTGGTTCAAATTAAAGACTTCCTTGATTGTCTGCAGGAATGTTACGGTCACTTGTTTTTAGCCTAGTTTTGCCTGTAATGGCAGTGACATCAGTGAGAACCTAGAAAAACAGTTGGTCTTTTATTTATACTGAGAATAATTCGTTTGGCTGGTACAAAACAGAATAATGCTATCATGGAATTTTAATTTGCTTCTACCTGAGGACATATTTTACTAAACTGACAATCGAAAGAGCTGTATCCAAGACACTCCTCCTTGAGATAAAAAGACAGCTCTTTAGAGGAACACATTCAGATCTAAGTGCCTCTTTCAGGATGCTAATGAGCCATCTTTGATCCCATCTGTGTGAGACATAGTTTTTTGATGTCTCTTTTCATTCTGTTTACTTGACTATGGGACTTATTAAATGAGTTGCATTAAACTGAGTCCCAAGTGTTCCTTTCTCCATCAGTCCTGTTTGCCATCTTGTACTTAGGTTAGATACATTAGAAAAAAAGAATCAGATGGACTCTGAAGTCAGTAAGTTCTCAGAATATGAGACTGCATTTCACCAAATGCTGAGTTTCCATAAGGACTGGTCATATATATTGCATTTCTTGCCCTACATGTAAAAACTTAAACAAAATTTTCTTTTTTTTCTTTCTTATTAAATAGAATATATTATAAAATAGGGATGAGTGGGAAGAGAATTGGCTTCTCTTTGCAAATATTTTCTAAAACTGTGAGAACCAACAAAGTCTAATGATTAAATTCTCTAACAAAAATGTCATTTAAAATAATTTAGTTACAAGGATATCACTGATCAATTTTTCTTGTTACTATTTGTATTAAAATTGTGTTAATTTCATAAGTATCAAAAGATGTTGGAGCACGGGTAGGGTTAGTGTAAGTCAGGGTTAGATGTGTACAAGGGCCACACCCTTCAGCTATAGAAAAATGAGCTCATACATATGACTGCAGTTTCATATATATGCCAACTCGCTTGTTAGAGTTTGTTTGATTTAATGAGACAGGGTCTTGTGTGTCAGCTCAGGCTGCTCTTGAACTTCCAGTCTTTGTGCTTTGACCTCCCAAGTGCTCAAATCACAGGCATGTGCCATCATGTCTAGCTTTATGGCTTCCTCTAAATGATGTATTTGATGACATGGAAAACATCATATTAAAATAAGTATATTAGCTTAATGACGGTGTGACTATAAAGGCTCCTTAATTTATTTAAAAAAAAAAAAAGCTGGACAGATTGGCACACACCTTTCAGTACTTTGGGGGTAGAAGAAGGAGGATTGAGAGTCGTAGATCACCCTCAGCTATATAGTGAGTTTGAAGCCAGGCTGAGCTACTTTGAGACCCTGTCCCAAAAAAAAAAAAAAAAAAAAAAAAAGCAAAGCAAAACCCTTTCCCAACCAGATTCTCTACAGAAGCCTAATTACTGAGTTATGCATGTGTTCTTCATCTACTGAAAGCTTAATTTGAATTTGGTTTTGTTTTTTCTTCTACTTTCATTGAAAAGATATGTTAGGTTTTACCACTAGCATTTTAAGGGTGAGTAAATCTTTGCAGCCATATCTTTAAATGTCTTTGAGGTAGTGAAGAGCAGAGCACATTCTCTTATCTCATTATTTCTGGGTTTCAAAAACTTGTCCAGGAGTTGTTAATATTTAATAAATCTGGTTGCAATCAAGGTTAGTTGGTCCTTCCTAAAGAAAATGGGTGTTGCTTGGTGCACTCATTTGGGAAGGGAAATGATCCCGCTAAGCTTCAAATGCAATGGAGTTTAGTATTTGGAGGCCGAGGAAGAGCAGAGCATTAAGTGTGAGAGTAGGGAGACACGGAAAGGGAGAAGAGTACAATTTCTCGCTAGTATGTCTTTGTATACTCTCACACCTTTCATTCCTCTTCTTATCCATTTTGGTTCCTCAAGCACAAGGGAGAAACTGCACTCTTTCTCATATTCCTCACGGTCAAATATTCTAATGGTAATGATCTTCCTGTGGGGACACAAGACAAAGGCAAAACAAATGGTTGGAGTCACACGCTCATGCTCTAGATGTCCACCAAGCTGGATGTTATTGTGATGTTATGGAGGGAAAACTGGCAGCACATGATCCTCTGGGCATATGTAAAAGGGCATCTTGGATGCTCTCCACTGGTCCCCATTTGAGATTTCTTTGTTAATGGATCCCTTTCATAAATCCTTCTGCTTCTTCCACAATTACAAAATGGGCTTAGAATTATGACACTGTATAGTGTCTGTGCCAATTTCCCCAGCTATGGAGGCTTGATTGATTGTGCCGAAAATGAACCTTCAGACCTGCCTGGTGTACAGTGGCCGTAACTGGCTGAGGATGCTGCAGTTCTGGCCCACTGCCGCCAGGGTGAGAGCCATGCCCTGTTACATAGTGGAGGCATGTGTGCATTGTAAGTCATGTTCTGAAGAATGCAGGCATCCAGGGAGGCACAGGCCAGCAGAAGCTGTTGGCCTCGGCCCTGGAGCAGCTCTCCCACCTTTCTTCTCACTCATCTCCACCATGCGGGGCTCTCCAAGCTCAATGAAGAAGGTCTTGTTTTTCTCATACTCCTCATCATCAATTACCTTGACTGATATTACTTGGCTGAAATAGAGAAGAATAGAAATTGACGAACAGGGGAAGAGGCAAGCCAAGGAACATAGGCAAGAAGAAGCAAGGTCAGAGAGGTCACTGAAAACAGTGCCTTGCCCAGGGCCATAGGACTAAGGTGGGCCAAGTACAGTTCTCAACACTGATAAGCTTATCGTCATCAGAAAGAAAGGCAGAAAAGCAGATTCTCATGAGAAGAGAAACAATATTTACTGACATATTTAACTCTTGTGTTGTCTTGGCTGAGCCCTGGATGCCATTGCTTTAGGACAAATTAATAAAATGCAAAGAGCGGGTGAGCTCTCTCTGTGGGTGAAAGCACTTGACAAGCTGCCTAAACAACTGAGTGCCATCCGCGGAAACCACCTGTTAGAAGAAGAGAACTGGCTTCAGCAAGTTCCCCTCTGACTGTCACTCCAATGCCATGGCAGGTACACCTCCACGCATGTACACACACATACACACACACACACACACACACACACACACACACACACACACTACCCCCACATACACACATGAATAAAAGGAATAAGAATTGTAAAATTGTACAATTTTTGTTGAGTTTACAATATAAGGACATTATTTCCCCTCTCCTCTTTCCTTTCTCCAAACTCTTTAATATACCTCTCAATGCTTTTTTTAAAAAAATTCATGGCCTCTTTTTTCATTAATTGTTGTCACATATATGCATTTATGTAATTACATATAATACATATTCTCAAATACAGGAAGACAACCTGCTCAGTCTGTATAGTGCTACTTTCACGTGTTAAGTTTTCAGGTCTGATCATTTGGCACTGGATACCCACTTGGTGTGCTCCCACGTCTAAAATTTTTATCGTTACATTACTAAAACAATGTATGTGGAAAAGCACTACAGAAGAAAATATGAAGTCTCTTTCCTCCCTCTCCCTAATGTTTTAGAATCTAACTTGTTAAATTTCTGTGGATTTTTTCATTTTTATCACAACAGAAGGTTGTTCATGCTTTGCTTTCGTTTCTGAAGATGGAAACTGTGTCCTCAGAGCAGCTGTTTCAAACGTGGGGGGGCAGTGGAGGGGACCACTGCTGATGTCATGGTTTTCATCCTTTGAATTTCAGCTTTAATTAACTATGGCATTTGTACCACTTTTCAAATGCATAAATACATTGAGGGGTTTCACAGATAAGTCTTCCCGGAATTCAGCCTCCAGTGGTGTTTGTGCTATGGTCCTATAGCTGTGAATGATTGATGGGTAGATAGGACAAGTGCAAATATTATGCAAATCTAAACTCCAGCGATGATACCAGACATAACTACTGATGGATCTGAAAATAGATCATTCTAATATTACCTTTCAACTAATAAAGTTTTAGTATGTTGTATATTACAATTTATTTACAGCCCCCTATATACAGATTTAACAAGATTTTTAAAAATAACATCAACCGAGATAATATCTGATTAAAATTTTGGAGCAATAGGTTTGCATAGTTTTAGTGACATGGAGATTTTTTTTTTTTAATGTAGGTTGCATTTTTCTGGGCCTTTTTTAGTTCATTGATCAAATTTGGCAAGACTCACTTAATGGCAGGCTTTCGAATGAGCATTTATAATTTTATTTTAGCATGAAGAAAGGTTGAAGAAATCCTCTGAATTTTGCAGACCCTAGTTCCAAATATTCCTTTCTATGCTCAGCATTGTAAAAGTGAGATCAAATGATTGGTTCTGGGCTTTGGAGCCTCATATTGCCCATATTTAACCAAGCTAAAGAACATGCATGATGCTGACACCCCAGTGTCTCATTCCTGAGAAGCTAGGGCTCATGCAAGCACATTTTCTTTATGATCAGTTAGACATGACTAATGTAACAATCATTTCTTTCAGAGAAGATATTTCTAAAACTATCAAGAGTATGACGAAGACCAACTATAGGTACAAACAGCTGCTGCCTAATTGTGTATGTGTGTGTATTAAAATCAAATGACCTAACCTGACATATTTAGTTGTTAATTTACATCTGAAAAATCCAAAATACTACAAGAAGCCCAAGAGGACCTCTAGGAAGCATCCTTGGAAGTGTATGTTTTATTTAAAAAATAAAAAGTATCTGCTATTTTAAGTTAGCTCAAACTTACCATTCAAAATTTGACCAAAAGTCTCTCTTTTTTTGTTATTAACAAAATGTATGCCCTTCGGGTATTAATTTCTCCTGTATATTCTTGCAGTCTTAAAACTGTGGTTGCACATCTGCTCTAAATCAAGCAGTGTCATGAAAGCAATCAAGGAAATGTGACAAAGACTGAAAGTGCCATGCCAGTCACTGTCCTTAGGACAGATGGCTCAGCATTCATTGTGAAGGCCCTTCCTGGTAGAGAATATCAAACTGGAATGCTCCTATGATGACAAGTCATGTTGAAATGTTCTTGCTTTTCAGTATATAACAGATACAATAGTCCCACCACACAGCTCATCACAGATACTGTTGGACTAAAGAAGTAAAGGAAACCCGGTTCATACGGTTGGGAGTAGACTTTCTAGTGAGTTGGTGTGTAGGAAAGGTACTAAATTTATGTTCAAGGGACAATATCCCAACGTATTCATTAACCCAAATCACCCACTGACAGATTATTTCTTATCACTGCACAATAGCATTGTTGTCCCTCTGTCATTGTGTGCTATTTAGCCTTAATTGTCAATTTGATACAGCCCAGAACCACCTGAGAAGAGAGATTCAATGGGAGAATCACCACAACAGGCTGGACTGTGGGGGGTTGTCCTGATTGTCAGATGAGGTGGAAAGACCCGTCTCCAACATGGATGGCCCCATGTCATGGGCTGGGTACTAAACTACATAACAGAAGTGAAATCCAGCTGAAAGTAAGCAAGCAGGAAGTCTTGGTGCATTTGTTTCTTTCTGTTCCTGGCTGTGCGTATGAAATGACTAGGTGCTTAAATCCCTGCCTTGACTTCCATGCTATACGAAGCTGTAGCTTGGAATTCTAAGGTAAAACAAACCTTTCCTTCCTTATAGTGGTTTTAGTCAGGGTACTTTATCACAGGGGCAAAAATGAATCTAGAACTGGTTGTAATAAATTTATTTTCTATACTCCCCCCAAATAGTTATAATATTCCATGAAACTTGATTTTAGTTAAAAGAAGCATCTGTAACTTAATATTGGAGCATCACTACTCGCCAGGACCAGAATTCTTTAGAAATATTTTAGAATTTGGTAATTGTGATATGAAAACAAAACAAATAAAAATGAAAGATGATGAAGAACCATATCCATAATTCCTATGAAGACACCTAGAATAGATAGCATTTGCATAACAGCATATCATTTTAAAATCATTAGAAACAGAATCAATAATGCCCTTGGCAAGAGAAGCCATTAAATTATATGTTGATTCAGTTTCTCTAGTACAGTAAAGCTATTAATAGGGAATGTGATTATTAAAGACCATTTTAGTCCATCTAAAGCAGCAGGATGAAGTCAGCCCTGAGTTAATTCTCTAAATCAAGACAGACAAAGTCAGAAGATATTGTTTGTTATGTTTGCCTTTCACTTCAAAAGAGAAAGGTAGTGATGGTGAAATTACCCAGTGTAACTTTCAGAGGGAAATGTCATGAGAAACATGCAACTCAACTGTCTTTTCTGAGTTTCTGAATATCAGTGGTTGAAGACCAAGCTGCGTATCCAGACACTACAGAGCGTGCCGCTTGCGCTGGAGGTGGTGTGGTGACAATTGAAGCTAGACAATCTAGAGAGTTCCTGGAGCATTTGCCTTCTGGGCATCAGTAGTCTGCCCCATTGCCACACCAAAACCTTATCATAGGAACTCTACCTTACCACCATGATAGATTCATACTGGTCTTTCTGCTTTGTTTAACAATAGGAGGCTTTTGGGTAAGTGCCATTTCTTTCAATCAACAGCTTGACAAAATCAACTCTGAAAGAGTTGGGTAAACATTGTCCTTTGAGCAAACACAACTCATACATTATTGCATGGATGAGACTTAATAGAAAAACAAGCGCCTTGCTATTTCCAACAACCGTGGTTATAATAAAGACAACAAGGAGAACTCACTCTTTTCCATTCTGAACTACATTCTAGAAAACTGCATTTTCTAGATATTAGTAAAACAGTTGAAAATCTTTTGATAACAAAATGTTTCTCAACGGGGCCAACATGCTTATCGATGCTATTTTTCATTTTACTTCTAAAGATCACATTAAGAATGATGTTATTTAGGAGAAAAATACAGATCATTCTTTCTGATCTAGGCCATTCCTTTCTTGTGCTCCCACCAAAGCAATATCTATATTCTCCTTAGTCCCTCTTCCCTGAGGGGTTTCAAAGGACTCAACCCCTTCAAACAGACTACTAAGGAGTCAGGTGGTGAATCACTGATGAAGGAAAGAAAGTCTTGGCTTTATTAGTGGTGGCTGGAACAGAAAATCTCTTCAAAGTATACGTTAAGTTTTAAGCCAGAATGCTTATCCCTATCTCCTTCTTCTTCCTCTTCCTCTTCCTCTTCCTCTTCCTCTTCCTCTTCTTCTTCTTCTTCTTCTTCTTCTTCTTCTTCTTCTTCTTCTTC